GAAGTCATCCCCGGGACCTGGAAACGGGTGGACAGGTCACCGAACGACATCACACGATACGACAATATGGCTACGACGAGTCGAGATATGATGGCCATTGTCCTGCACGCCGACGGAGGGGATCTGAAAAAAGTAAATGTCAAACCCCGACTCCACAACGACCTCACAACCGTGCACGTTGTGGAGGAGAAGTTTGGGAAGTGTCAAGGTAAACACGGTGGGATAAAGAGCGATGATAGTGCGGTGTATTCCATCTGGGAGCGAGAGCCTGGAAAGTTACGTTCGTTGTGCGGGTCATTTGTCGAAGAGGCGGAAGGTGTGCTTTTGTTAGGTAGAGCGCACGCAGGTCTTGTGTGTCAGTTATTACTGGCAGGTAATAATGTCCTTGCCTGCGACGAGTCGGCCAAGGACATTGCATATCTGACAAAGTTCGTCGATATACTTGTGAAGGATGAGAGATTCGCCTGTCATGTCGAGAAGCTACGTTGCAAACATCGTAGCAATAGGGACATGTTCCACAAGTTGGGACGCAAGAGACATAAGGTGTGGGAATACCTGTTCCGTGATGCGCCGCAAGGACGGCTTGACGGGAATTACATCTACAGGAAAGCAAAGGTGACAGAGACCCTGGAACATTATCACGGTGCTCTTACTGGCGCCTTTGAGACTTTTGTCGCTCGATGCGAGATCGTGAAGTTCGATCTTCATAAAGACCAGCTGATGTCCAAGGACTACGCTGACCTCGCGAAATCGGGTGAAGGCTTTAACCCCGTCGACAGCGAGGAAGACTCTTCGGGGTCCGACTTCGAATTGGGCGATGGCTAGGGTGGTGAAAGTCCCGGCGGTGGCATGGTGCGGTCACACGATGAAGGGACCGTTCGCTCGCATGAAAGACCCGTACAGGTGGCCGCCCCCAGTGTTGGCTCGATGGTGGCCCCCATGGAGGGCACCGGTTTGCCAAACATGGGAATATGTGGTCCCAATGATGAAGATGACATTGATATGCCAGGCGAGGCGTCGAAGCTCGCACCAGGCGATCCAATTCCTTCCGGCTATTGTGCTGATCCGACCACAATTTATTTCTTGGGGGGCAAACACGCTCGCACTGGTGAGGACAAGTGGGGCCATGACATCGTGTGGCATGAGAGCATTTTTGAGCCCTGCATCCAAGATGGGGAGTGGAAGATGGCGGTCAAATACACACGCGGATGGCAGACGTTTCGCCGGATGTCAAAGGACACTTGGCTGAAAACGACGGAACTCGCGATTATGTACCGCGTGCAAAAGGAGAATCCGAGGAAGAGCGAGGGTGCTGTCAAAGACAAGGCCAAAGAATTGTTTTCTGTATTGCGAGACAATCAGCACTTGGAGTACAGTTGGAAATTTTACGCCCTGCCAACGAGTCCCTCATGTGGGTCAATCGACTGGAAGGTCAATCAAACTATCGGAACCATGGAGGAGAGCCGCTCTCAAGATGCCGTGCCTTTGTCGGCATCGCCCCCCGTACCCACGCAGGCAGGGTAGAGGGAGGATGACGGGAGTAATGTGGTGAAGACTCCAGAGGTTCACATGACATCTATGCCGCAAATCTCCGTCGACACGACAGAACCGTCCAAACGCATGGATGTGTCAAATGCATTGTCGTCAGATGCAGGTGCCACGTACGGGAGTTTATTACTGACATCCGCCGCATTAGAAGGCGCATCCGAAATGCAGTCAGAGTCAGGTATTGGCCTGAGCGTGCCGGACAGTCAGTTGCAACCGGAGTTATGCACAAGCTAAGGTGATGCACAAGGACATCTGACACCACAGGGAGGGGCCGCTGCGGATGGTGGGAAGGGAGAGGATGTGGAGGGAATCCTCCATCCTCGCAATCTTGAGACCTTAACCGATGATTTCGATTATGGGGGTGAGGGTGGAAATGACGTGGTCAATACGAGGGGGGTGTGAAATGATCGGTGAGGCGGGACTTGTTAATTGAAATCGCACAATTGGCTCGTTTGTTTTTAGTTTCAAATGGAACTAGTATTGTTCGTAGGCACTACGACCACCTGATTTTCTCTTATGTATATATATTTTTTTCCTCAATATTTCGTTCGACCTAAGATGTTTAGGATACTTGCCATTTTCGAAGTGGATGTGTGTATGCGGATGTATTCGAACTTGGATCTCTCTCTCTCTCTCTCTCTCTCTCTCTCTCTCTCTCTCTCTCTCTCTCTCTCTCTCTCTCTCTCTCTCTCTCTC